GGGTTTGAACTCAGACCCTTGAGCTTGCCAGGGAAGCACTTATTCCACTGAGCCATATCCCCTGCCCCCTTGTTGTTCATTTTGAGACACAGACTCAAAGTTGCCTATGCAGGACTCAAACTTGAAATTCTGTCTCAGCATCCCTCAGTACTGAGATTACATGCATGAGTTACCCTGTGTACCTAGCTGGATGCTAGATTTTATTTTTTATTTTTTATTTTTTTTTACTTTTAAAATGTTTACAGTCTCAAATTATAAGACAAAAATCCCAGAGTCCATGTCCATGCAAAGGAAATTACTGAACAAATTAAAGTAGGGAGAAGAGCTGTAATAATAACAAATAATCTGTGTAAAAAGACACTGGTTTCTCCCAATACCTGGCAGCCAGACACACCAGCGGCTGGCTTCACGATGGCCCAGGGGAAGGGAGCTGCCCAGGCCCTGGTCTTCCCTGGCTGCACGAAGCAGCCTGGATGCTAGATTTTAAATGGTGTTTACCCTAAGAATAATTTTTTCTTTTTTATTTTTTGGGGAACTGGGGATTGAACTCAGGCCCTTGTGCTTGCCAGGAAAGTGCTTATTCCACTGAGCCATCTCCCTGGCCCCTAAGAATAATTTTTTGCATGTATGAGGAATGTGTGGTACTATACTTAATGTATCTTTCTTTTAGAAGAAGCCTCTTGGAGTAGCGAAAGTTAAATTCAGGGGCTTGTACACACTAGGCAATGCTCTACCACTGTGCTTTATCCCTACCTCTTTTTATGTGTTCTTTTTATTTTGAGATAGGGTCTTACTCAGTTGTCTGTGTTGGGCTCTAATTCCCCTGGGATGCAGATGTGCGCCGTGATGTCTGGCTCATGAAGAAGCCATCTTTATTATAAACATTAAATGATACTGTTAGGTGTTTTGTTAGAAATGTGCTATAATTTCCTTCATAATGAATTGCAGGTATTTGGGGACATTTATTTATTTAGGGTGGGACATATTTTTAGACAATGAGGAATACAGAGAAACTTGGTTTTGTGGCATCCAGTGCTTCATGCTTACAGCTGTCATTCTTACAGGGACTGGAAGAGTGGTTGTTAGTACATATCTTCCTTGAATTAGGGCTCTTATAGCCTGGAACAAGCAAATGTGTGTGTCTCAAAGATAAACCTATAATATTTATGGTTTTCTTTCTTGTCTGCTAGGGAGTTAACTGGCTTCTCAGTCTGGGTAAAGGACAAGGAAGTGAGTCAAAATACGTCTACTTGAACATCTGTTGATGTATGGTAAACACCACCACACATTTCCTAACATTTTAAAGGAAAGTTCCAGTGTTAGACTATTATATCTTGGTAAATCTTCAGTTTTTTAAAAATAAACATTCCAGGGATGAGGAGCTAGCTCAGCAGTCTTAAGTGTCTGCCTGGCAAGTGCAGGGATCTGGGTTCGATCCCCAGTACTGCATGCCGTGCCAGCCCTGCACCGAGCCAGCCACTAAAACCAGATGCGGTGGCTCACGCCTATAATTCCAGCACCAGGGAGGTTGAGAAAGAGGATCACTACAAGTTTGAGCTGCTACAGTGAGAACCTGTACCAAATAAATAAAAGATTTAGAAAATAACAAAAATAAAATAAACATTCAAAAAAAGTAAACATACTAATACACAATTTCTTGTTTAGTTTTTAGAAAATAATGACTGCTTCTCTTCATATTGGTACATACAGTGTGACTATAATTCTCTAAGATCAATTATAAGAAGAATTAACTTTTTCATTAGGTAGTACTTGAAACTCATTCTTTCAGAGTAACAGTCAAATAGCTTAAAGGAAATTTGATATTTGTTGAGGATTTTTTTCTTTTTGGAGGCAGGGTCTCACTATTCAATTCAGGATGGCTATGAGCTTACTATGTATTTCAGGTTGGCCTCAAACTCATGGCAATTCTGCCTCAACCTCCTGAGGGCTGGGATTATAGGTTGTTTAGATTTCGTCACTTTGTTAATAACAAGCAGCCAAAGAATGATCTTAAATTTAACTTTTTATTCTTTTGGAATGTTGATACCCTGTAATCTCAGCACTTGAGAGGCTGAGGCAGAAAGATCACAACAAATTGGAGACCAGTCTGGGCTACATAGTGAATTCAAGGTTGGCTTGAACTATACAGTAAGACCTTGTCTCAAAAAAAAAAAAAGAAAGAAAGAAAACAGAAAAAAAAAAAAGATGGGGGAGCTAAAAAGGAATATCTGAAGCCACATAAAAAAGGTTTTATCTCTAGTATTTTATTATTTTTTTTCTTTTTCTAGTACTTTATCACTTGAATTAGTGTGGATTAATATTATACTAAACTTTTGTATAATGTAGGTCTATAATTGTTTTTCAGAGCCTTTTTTTTTTTTTTCTTTTTTGGTATTTTGAATTGAGCTCCAGGCCTTGCACTTGCCAGGCAGGCCATGTTCCACTGAGCTACATACCTGGCCCTTCAGAGCCATTTTTTTCTTTCTATTTTGGTTGTTTTTCTTTTTGCAGTACTGAGCATGGGAACCCAAGACCTTGTACGTTAGGCAAGTAATATACCATTGAGTTACATTCTGAGCTTTTTTAAAATTCGAGATGAGTCTAAGCTGTGCAGACCTCAAGCCTTAGCCTCCCAGGCCACTGGGATTGCAGGTGTGGGGTATCTCCCCTGACTTCACACATTTTTTTTAGTATTTTGTTTGTAATACAGAAAAGTGATGTTTGTTTTGGGGAGTTAGTATGTGCATATGGCATAGCCTAATAATTTTCAAATATCTATTCTTGAGAAAATATCTGACATGCCAAGCCACAGATAACTGAAGATATAGTGTGATTGTACCTCAGTTTATATGGATGCTTTTGTTTACAGTGTGGTTCACAAACAGAAGTATTTGGCAAATTTTTTTTTTTTTTTAACCAGGGATTGAACTCAGGTCCTTATGCTTGCCAGGGAAGCACTTATTCACACTGAGCCATCTCCCCGGCAAAAATTTTGTTTTTGTATCAGGTGACAGACATGACTGCAGCCAGCTTTACTACACAAATGCAATCTGGCCATCTTTTCCAATGTCATATAACAAATTAAGTTTGTAAACTAAGGCACCACTGTATCGATTTTTCTTTTGTGCCCTTGTGTTGACTATTCTCCATTAGGTTAATGATTTCCCAATCATTGTTATCTTTCAGACCTATTTATTTTAAAAATTTACTCATTTGTTTATTTTTGAGACAAGGTCTCACTGAGTTGCTCAAACTGGCCTTGTATGTAGCCCAAGCTGGTTTTTTTGTTTTGTTTTGTTTTTTGGTACTGGGAATTGAACTCAGGACCTTGTGCTTGCCAGGCAGGCGCTTGTGCTGCTGAGCTGTATCCCCAGACCTCCAGGCTGATTTTGAATTTGCAGTGATCTTCCAGCCTCAGCCTCCAAATGCTGGGATTGTAGGTGTGTGCCACCACATCCAGCAAAATCTTTTAAGTTGGAACATTGTGCTTTTTTTTTTTTTTTGTACTATTAAGATCATTTATTCTTCCCCTATAATGTCTGTATTTTATGGTACTTAGAGGTTTTCTTGAAAATTTCCTGTTATATAGTTAAGAATTGTGTCAAGACTGCTATACTGGGGCTGTGAGATGGCTCAGTGGTCTAAAGCACCTACTTAGAACAAGCTTAGCAAAGCATAGAGACCGCAGTTGGATCCCCCAGCACCACATGCCAGCCAGCACCGCCCCCTGGTGGGCTGAGCTGGCCACACACACACACACACACACACACACATAAATAAATTAAAAAAATAAAAATAAAATAAAAAAAAAAAGACTGCTATACTAAGTTACTTGTTTAAATTCTGCTAAAATGTAGCTATCTTCCCTCACTGGATTAAATAGTATGGCTAATCTCTGGATCATTATTCCTCTGGAGGTCAGTTTGAGTTTGATTTCTGCAGTATACCTTGGTGAGTTAGACAGTGCATCTCAGTCAAAGCTTTAGGTATTAGACCAGAGTCCAGCCATACCTCTGATTGTCAGAGCCAAGTATTTTACTCTTGTGTATATCGGTACTTTTTGGGGGAGAATCAGTTTTATCCTTAAATGGTAGTGTCAAGGATTCCTCCCTTTCTTATGCCTTTATATTAATTGAATTTAAAATATGTAAAATTGAGTACTTCTAGAATAGTTTATCTTCTTAAGATCAAGAAAGAATGAAGTTAGCTAGTATTTTGGAACATTTCTTACATGAGTGTATCTTTTGGTTAAGTAGGCAGTAGGGTGATGTGACTTTCTTTTTAGAGTCAAAAGCAAGGGTAGTAAGTAATTTCTTTTTTTTTAATTTTATTTGTGTGTGTGTGTGTGTGTGTGTGTGTGGCCAGCTCAGCCCACCAGGGGGCGGGCTGGCTGGCATGTGGTGCTGGGGGATTGAACCATGGTCCCTTTGCTTTGTTAAGCTTGTTCTAAGTAGGTGCTTTAGACCACTGAGCCATCTCACCAGCCCAGTAATTTCTTCTTTGCTTTCTTCTTCCTCCTCCTCCTCCTCCTCCTCCTCTTCCTTCTCCTCATTGTCTTCTTGTTCTTCTTGTTTTTGTTCTTCCTCTTTTTCTTCCTTTTTCTTCTTCCTCTTTTCCTTCCTCTTCTCCTTCTCCTTCTTGTGTGTGTGTTTGTATAGGTCTGTTGGTAGATTTTCCAGTAAAAAGTACAGTAGTAGCTGGTAATAAAAACCAGGACTTTTTCATGGTGAGACTCCTTCTTTGTAAATGCACTTATACTTTACTGTTCTTTCTTTTTTGCTTATACAGATAAACATGATGCTGGCAAACCTGTATAAGAAAGCTGGTCAGGAGCGTCCATCTGTCACTAGCTACAAGGAAGTATTGAGGCAGTGTCCACTAGCCCTGGATGCCATTCTAGGTATAGATAATTTTCTGCCATTTCCCCATCAGTGATAGTAGTTCTCAGTTCATGGGTATATATTAGGATAGATTGTTTACAAAAGTTCCCTGCAAGCCAGGCATGGTGATGTATACCAGTAATCTCAGCACTGAGGGAGTGTGAGGCAGGAGGATTGCAAGCTGCCTGGACAATTTAGTGAGACTCTGTTTCAGAAGAAGGAATAGTCAGGCATGGTGACACATATCTATAATCCCAGCACTCAGGAGGTTGAGGCAGGAGGATCACTGAGATTTCAAAAGCAGCCTGAGCTACAAATCCTTTCTCAAAAAAATCCATAAATGAATAGGCTGCAGATGTAGTTCAGTGGTAAAGCACTCCTGTGTTTGATCCCCAGTACTGTCAAAAACAAGAAAAAGACATTCCCTGCATTATCATATATTTTTATTTGTTTATTTTTAATTATGTTTATTGGTACATTTTAGAGATACATAATAATAACATTCATCATAGGGAATAGGTACCTATACGTGATATAACTTGATTCTTCCTTTCCCCCATCCCTTAAACCCCTCTTCCCTCATTTACAAAAGCTTTTCTTTTTTTAAATTCGATACAAGTCTTGTTATGCAGTTCAGACTCGTAGTGATCCTCCTGTCTCAGCCTTCCCAGTGCTGAGATTACAGGTATAGGTGTCCACACCCAGTTTGGGGGCTGGCACAGTGTGCCCATGCCCCAGGTTCCAGGGCCCACATGGCATGTGGTAGTAGAGATTGAACTTGGGTCCTTGCGCTTGCCTAAGCAGGTGTGTACGCCATGGAGCTATATCCCCAGCCCTACAAAAGCTTTTTTCCAGTTTTTCTCCTTTTATTATTTTTCTTTTTTTCTTTGCTATGCAGGCGCTTAAGCCACTGAACTATCTCCCCAGTCTTTTTTTTTTTTTTTTTTTTTTTCCTTTTGTCCCTTCCTAGTTTCCTTTCTCATTTGAACATTTTCTTCCTGTTTCACAATACCTGTTATACATTTTGGTCCTGCTAGGGAGAGATAGCTTAGTAGAACAAGTGCTTGCCTGGCAAGCGCAAGGGCCTGAGTTCAATCCTGGATTCTGGAAAAAAAAAAATCTATACATTTTGGTCCTTATTTATACTTTAAGTTACTCACACCAGAGAAGCAGTCCAGTATTTACATGTCTGATATACTTCACTTCGAGTATATTCTCAGGGTGCATCCACTTAGCCAGAAATGTCCCAAGTTTATCCTGCCTTAAGGCACAGGAGGGCTCTGCTGTGTGAAAGGCTATGTCGCTGTGAGCATGGGTGTGGTGTGCACGTGTTGTTGCACTGGCATGTACTGAATCAAGAAATGTTAAATAATCTTTTTGGGCTGAGGGTATAGCTCATAGTGATTATATGCTTATCATGTTGGAGGCCCTGGGTTACATCCCACCATGAAAAATAATAATTAAATTACAGTTTTTCTGTCGTGTGCATGTTGTTGATCATATTAGGGAAGGAATTGTCTTGTATCCTGCGAAAGTTTAGCTTGTTTCTTGCACTATGGAAGAGGGATGGTGTTCCTTACCTTCTTTCCCTTTTCTGCTGGGTTAGGTTTGCTGTCCCTTTCTGTAAAAGGTGCAGAAGTGGCGTCGATGACAATGAATGTTATCCAGACAGTGCCTAACTTGGACTGGCTCTCTGTGTGGATCAAGGCGTATGCTTTCGTGCACACTGGTGACAACTCAAGGGCCATCAACACCATCTGGTGAGAGCCACTGTTTTAGTTCAGTACTCTGGAGGCTCCTCCTGGAGGTCTCCTGTGCTTACATTAGCACAGAAAACTCAGGTCTTTCTCAGTGTTGGCTTGTGGGTTTTGTTATTGTCTTTTTGAGACAGGGTCTCACTATTCAGCCCAGGCTTGGCTCAAATTCAAAATGATCCTCCACCTCTCAGTGCTGGGATTACAGGCCTGCACCATGAGGCCCAGCTGGGTTGTGTTACTCTCTTAATGTCTTGAATGGTTGAGACCATAATTTTCTTTGTTGGGAACCCGTAAAAATGTAAAGCTAGACTGAACTCATTTCTGAACATACAGAAATCATCTCTGTACAAGAGTAACTTAGCCTGGCATGATGGTGGACTCCTGTAATCCCAGTGGTCAGGAGGCTAAAGCAGGAAGATCACCATGAGTTCAAGCCCAGCCTGCACTATGTAGTAAGACCCTGTCTTAAAAACAAAACCAAAAAAAAGTAGCCCAGTAGTCAGAAAGAACTTAGCAACTTGGGTCAGCAAGGTAGCTTAGCAGTCTAAAGCGTCTGCTTAGGCAAGCTTAGGCAGGCGCGCAGGGACTGGGGTTCCATCCCTGGCACCACATGTCACACCAGCCCCACTCCCAGGGTGGGCTGAGTCAACTGCAAAAAAAAAAAAAAAAGAACTTAGCAACTTAGTGATACTCAGGTGTTTTGTTTTGTTTTTGTAACTAAAGGGTTAGGGATGTAGTTCATTGTGAAATTTTGGGTCCACCCCCCAGTGCTACCAAAAAAAAGATAGGCGTAGTAGTATACCCCTTTAATCGCAGCACTCAGGAGGCTAGGGCAGGAAGATTGCTGGGAGTTCAAGGCCCACCTGGGCAACAAAATGAGAGTGAGTTCAAGGAAAGCCTGAACTGCATTGTGGGCCTTGTCTCAAAAAGACAAAAAAAAAAAAGGTGGTGTATAGTATGCTCAAGCCTGGAAGAAACCTTTTGGTCTTCTCACAAACCTAGTTTACTGTAGCACCTGACCTTTCTTTTTCTTCAGATAAGAGTCCTAGGGGACGGGGAGATGGCTCAGTGGAATAAGCACTTCCCTGGCAAATGCAAAGGCCTGAGTTCAATCCCTGGTTCCACAAAAAAATCAATCAATCAATCAATCAATCAGTCCTAGGACAAGAGATGGGGGGGTTGTTTTTTTAATTTTATTTATTTGTTTGTTTGTTTGTTTGTTTATTTTGTGTGTGTGTGGCCAGCTCAGCCCACCAGGGGGCGGGGCTGGCTGGCATGTGGTGCTGGGGGATTGAACCGC